GTCGGACATTGATTAATGATCATTCATTGGATCAAAAATAACCAAAATTTTTTTCAGTGTAATAAACATTTCATGTATTTCTGAGAAATTTTTGAACAGTTATATTAACTTTGTCTAGTGAAGTAAAATACTATACTTACAATTAGAATGCTAATCTAGATGAAACGCTAGATGAAACCTGCAGTTACTGTGCACAAAAAATGCGAAAATCTGAATCCATTTGCTGAACAAGAATGCGACAATAAATGAATTACGCAATGTTTTAATAATAATCTATTAAATTATTAATAATAAAATTCAATGATAATAATTGATTCAAATATTGATTTCAATTTGGTTTAAATAATCTAAAATTTAAAATTAAAAATCAAAACAAGGAAACTACAAATCAAGCTGTATATTTAATGCTAAATTTTTGTAAATATTATGATATTGTTTATAAAAATTTAATATTAAATAGCTTCCAACTTGATTCGTATTTCCTTGTTTTAATTATAAATAATAATTTAATAAAATTACTAATAATAATAATAATAATAATAATAATATTAAATTACTAATAATAACCTATTTAATCCTAAACAATAACTGGATTGTCTACATAAATATTTTTGCCAGGAAAACTGTTTTAGTTATTGAATAAAACTATCAAGCTTTTGTTCATTTCCTACTCAGTACATTGTTATAATTAATGAAAATACAGTAATACTATTATAGATGAGTGTCTAAGAAAACAATATTTCTAGTATTTCTATCAAGGGATTTGGATTTGAAAACAATTTTGTCGGACCATCATAATAATTATATATAGATTTTGAAACTGATTGTTAGATTGTTAAAATTTTTTGCAATATACAATGTCATCAACGTTTAAAGCACAAAGAAGCTACACTGAAAAGAATTTCGGGTTGAAAATGGACAAATCAGAATTTTCTGGTTAAATTTATTAGAATTCTAGTTGAGATAATCGGAATTTTGATTCATACAATATTTCTGGTAAAATCTACTAGAATTCTTATTTTTACCAAAATAATTATATCAATCAGAATTCTAGTTATTTCTATTAGAATTCTAATAGATTTAACCAGAAAATTTCGATTCGTCCATTTTTCACAAAATTATTGTTTAATCCAACCATTTTTCTCAGTGTAACATTTTCAATAAGGGAGGATTTTCCGAGATCTTTCTAAGTGAGTCTTTATCTAACAAAAACTTTTTCTACGTTTTCAATTTAAATATATCCATATAATCTAAAAAAGTACGTTATCTTTTTTCGCGAGGATTACCATAACGGACAGCTCTATTTATCTTCCAACAGTTCGCGTTATCTTACGGACAACATGTTAAATAGATGTAAAGTTCTACTCACTGAATCATCGCCAATCGAGTCATTATCAATAGATGGATCTTTGGCTTTCTCGTCGCCCATGTTCGTCTTTTCCTATTTTCCGTCAATCATGACGCGATAGACGAGCCATCCATCAGGGGAAAGTGTCCCAGTGTATGTGACGATTGCTACTCGGGATCACGCCAATGAATACAAATATCATCATCCCTGTCCCGCCATGACGAATCCTTCTGATACGCTCGAACCCACGGATAAGCGTGGCGAGCTTCCGCGTTGCGCGGGCGACTCATCGTCGACGCTTAATAAGATCTGAAGGACAATTGAGATTGTGCTACCGAAGTACAATCATATTTGGCCTGTCGTGGTCTTGTATGCGGCCAGCTGATTAAAAACGATTCGAAAAATTAATCGGTTCGAAGATGCACATTACATACAATTATTGTTACTATTCTAATTAATCTCGCATGAATAAATTTCCATGATCTCGTGATTAATCAATTAAACGACATTATATTATTAATTATTAATAGTGCAACATCGTGATATAAACAATTTGAAATAATAAATTTAAAAAAAATAACTCGTTTAAAAGTTACTTACCTAAAACTGCAGCAAGATATAATAATTACCTTGCATAAGTCAGTAAAAATCAAATAATTAATTATTTTGTTTTTGCAATTGATTTCAAAGTATTTATGATACAATTATTTTTACTGATATTAGCTAGTATTGTCTTTTTTTCGTTCATACTTTTAACTGGTATTGTACAGCAAAACATTCTTAAGCAAATGTTTCTTTGGAATTTAGGTAGTCTTTTTTATATATTCCACGACACATATCTATTTTTATCTATTACAGTTAGCCTTCGAGCATCAGTGATAATGACACAATTATTTATTAATTATACGCTTATTATTACCCTAACATGTGAAAATACGTTTAATAACAATAAGTATTTTATCGTATAATTGATAAATAATTGTGTTCTTATCACTGGTGCTCGAAGGCTACCTGGAACAGATAAAAATAGATATGTGCTGTGGAAACATATAAAAGAACATAGCATATGTGAAATAAAACTGTAAAAAATTATGTTTTGATCTCTTAAATACTTTATAGCTTTACTAATTATGAATTTAAATTATAATTTTAGAGATATTTTGAAGATTCTTAAATACTTCTACCATGCCAATAAATCATGTAAGTTGTTTGATTATTGCTAACACATTACACATTAATTAATCAAATAATTTTTAATATTACATATAT